GGCCACCAGCCACTGACAAGAACTAAAGTTTCTTGCTTTGCATTTTAGTTTAAAGATTAAAGTGTGCCGTTCCCTGCTTCCTTAACCTCTGAGGTTTCTAAACACCGGCTGCTTGAGAGGATGAAATCAACACATAACACAATGGGGCAAGAAAAGAGAAATGGGGACAGCGTTAAAAAAGTCTTTTAAAAAAAGGCGTCACCTTGCACATCTTGTCTTTGTGTACTTACTGCCTGTAGCCAACAAAGCTCCTGTCCTATCACGGTGCTGCAGCATAGCAGCCACAGACTCTCCCCAATGGCAAACAGCTGCCACAACCACCCCAGCCATCAATTATTCACCGGGGCTTTTGCCGTCTTGTTTACCTTTGCGGCCGTCACGGTGCATGGGAGGGTGGTGAGTAACAGCCGCGTGAGTTTAACGGCGGCGGGTCCAAATCACGCTGCCAAAAGTAAAACTAGGGAATCGTTTACTGTAGATGAGATGCATCAAGCAAGGACTGAATACTATACAGTATATAGACATATTAACTTGAACATACTGCACATAATTATCCATACTGCGGCGCTGTGTTTTGCATTGGAGGGTTGACATAACCCAGTTAACACAGCTGCCATTTCCCAGAAAGAAACACGTGATTTCTCAAAGAGAAAGGGAAGGGAAGGGAAGGAGGGAGGATGTGCGTCAGAGAGGACAAAGCAGAGGATCCATCGAGGTGCAGACGTCTCCTAAGGGACCGGCTGTTTGCTCCGTGACCAAACACCTGACACTGCATGTCAGGCCTGACTCTGGTGTTCATGGTTGGATCCACCTAGAGCCCCAGAGGACTGGGGATCATCTCAGCTCCATGATCACTTCCTCCAGTGGAGCTCCCCCTTCTCCTGTTAATCCATCTCCGGAATGAAATACACCCCCCACCACCACCACCACCACCACCACCACCACACACCCACACCCACACCCACACCTCCCATTACCCCTCTGTCCCACCAGATTGGGGGGGAAGGCGGCAGGCAGGATGTGAGACCAGCTGGTCATCAGCTCAGACAAAGAAACCTGCTGAATGTGCTTTTGCATCAAAAAGAAATCTCTCACATTGCCATTTTCTCCGTGGCCTCACCAGCTCTGGATCACTTTTCGGTCAAGGGGGAGGGGCCTGATTACAAAACTTTAAAGAACAAATCTACTTCTGTTTTTCTCACGGATGCAGTCCTCCACAATCAGGGTGGAGCCATTTCCAGCCACAAACTGAGGAGATCTTATAGTCTTGCCTAATACATGAACACAAAACATTGACAACAAATCCTCCTTAAGATGTAATTTACACACTGTGAGCAATAGTATCTCCGGCTTCAACGCGCTTTACCAAAGCAGGAAGGAGGAAGGAAAGAGAAAAGAGCTGCACCAGAGTAACGATGTGGTTTTACCGCAGAGAAGCCGGTGGCAGGTGTAATTTATCTTTGGTCCTAGCCTGGTTCAGCTACTCGCTAGGGAGAGACAAACCTAACGGGAAACTCACACTGTAAGGACACAGTGTGAAGTGTATTTATATGTGTCCTAGATGTCCTGTGATCACCAAACTTCTGGCTTTAAAGCCCAAACAGGAAGCATTTCTCTCACCTCTTTACTAGGATTAGTAGATGGGTGGAACACCATTCGTTTTCAATTAGACTGAGCCATTTAATCTCCCTTGAGATACTAATAAAGACGAATGAAACAAAGACGTAAAATACATCACTTGACTCTTAAGCTTGGGTAAACAATGGCAGACTCATTTACATTCAGCCAGAGTGGAGTGAAAGGGGCTTAATTTGGGTTTCTCTTGACCCGAGGCGGAACATACACAAGGGACTCGAGAGAAAAGCACTCCGATTTTTATCGGTGCGTTGATGTGCTCCAAAAGAGACCCACATGGCGGAGAAGCAGATCCCAGAGGAAGCGCACACTGAGACGCACTGGAGTGTATGAAGGGGGGGGGGGGGGGTCATATCTGAGGTGCTGAGGGGCATTTTCATGGCCGGGTGAATCCCTAATCTGCCCTTTAGTTAGCACACACACAGACAGCTGAGGATTAAAAAGATAGCATTGTCATCTTTCCTATTTATCACAAACATATACTTCCTGACCTCCTAGTAGAGTGACTGTATATAAAACACTGGTCATTCAAAGATGTGATATGATAGCGGTAATAGATTTCCTCACAGCCCAGATATTGGATGCAACAGTTCTCATATTTCTAATTGTGTCAAGTGTTGAGGCAGGAAGTCGGTCACCTATCAAGTGTACCTGGAAGGTCCTATTAGGTAATCGCACCAGGAGCAACAGGCATGAAACCTGTTTTGCAAAGTCTGATGGGGGACACACCCATCAGGGATTTGGTCCCTATTTCAACAATGGAAAAAACTAAAAGTAAATATTCTCGGTGTACATGTACGAGGGTGAGAGACATTTTTGGGTTGGCTGCTGCCCACTGCACCTGCAGCCCAGCAGGTGTAACTGACCCACAACGGCTCCTAAAAGTGATCAGTTGATTCATGATACGCCTGCAGACTGAATGTACGCCTGGTCAAAGGCAGTGCAGCGCACACAGGACACAAACACAGAGCCGTGACATTGGATACGAGGCAATCAGACTTGTGAATGGACTTCTTTGTAACCCGTCATGGGACTTTGAGAATGGCTTAACAAAAAGATAGTTCCCTCTTCCTCAACCTGATCTTTGAGGCAGGGTCAGCAGAGAACTTCAGATCGCAGTTCAAACCGCTGAAAACACAGAACACGTTTAGGGAAATACCGATTTGATTGTGAGGAATGCACTTCTAACCACACTATCACAGGCAATTCATCAATAATTGACAGGAAAAACTGGAGCAACCAGTTCACTCTCCGCTTCTGCTCTGATGTTTCAAATATAAACATGGCTCCTTTATAGTGAAACTACATTAAAACTCAAAGACTAAAGACCCATTGCAGACTATCTGAGATCAGTTTTTGTGTAATCAGAAAGCAGAGCTGCGATACAGCATTAAGGGCTAAGGGTGTGTGGAGATGAGGGGAATTCCTGAGCAGCTGCCTGCTTAAAATGTTTCTCGAAACTCATTCCATACAGATAAGTCATGCTTAATGCTACTATTTCATGTAGTATGATCACTGCCTGGATACAATCTCGCCCTAAAAATCAGACAAAAACACTCATTCTAAATTGTTTTTTACAAACCTAAAATAGTCTTTATGTGGCAAATTGAGACATCATTACCACGGAGAGTATAATCTAAGATTGGTGGGCAGTGCGGTGGGGGATAGTCACAGCAAACTTAAGAAACCATCAGGCCTCTAAATCTCCATCTGTTCACTTTGTTAAACCCCCAAAGCAATAGGATCTCCAACTATCCACCCACAGCAGCAGCCAACACGAAACACCACCACACAGCACGATCGCTTTATCAATCGTTATCAATTTAAAAACATCGTATTGGCTGTGTGTCATTCCCGGATATATGGGATGAACTGCTGAGCAACAATGAGAGATTGACACCGAAAAACAGACCGACAAGTCAGCCCACAGACTCCTCTCTGACTTGAATATACAGTGACAGGGAGAGCGCACACAAATGCATAAAGACTCTCAGACCATCACTCACTTATGAGTTCATTGTGGTGATGCCATTCATTGTGAGCCTGACCTCTCACGCTGAAGCCCCGCTGACTCTGAGGACCAGAGAGAGGGCCCCCGTATGCTTTGTGTCTGCACGCTACGCATTCACCAAGGACCACACGAGACACTGTCACCGCGCATTTATGTCTCCCGGTTTGAAGCCAGCACCACACGGAGACTGTGTGGAGTTAGCTGAATATTCGGGTGTATCCGTCACTCAGCATTTTCAGGGGCCGTGCACCAGGTACACTGCGGATATCTGACAGGTATGAACTAAGTGGAGGAAGATCAGAGTCTGAAAGTAAGCCTCATCAGGCAAAGTAGGCCTCGTCAGGCAAAGTAGGCTTCAGGTTTTGAGCCAAGAAACGGCCATAACTAGACTGAAGAGGGGTTAAAAAACTACATTGTTTGTGTTTCTTAGAAGGCAACAGGCAGTCCTCTGTTGACCTCGTCTTGTAAACAGTCTCCATTAGTGAACGTGCCACTCGCCCCTTTTATAAGTAAGCAAACGCCACGAAACGTGAGAGTCTGACAATGTCTACTGACCAGTGTATTCAGACAAACTCACACAGTCAGTCCCTTGTTCTGATTATGAACAATGCCTCGAACTGAATAAAACAAGGAGAGAGTCGACCAAGCAAGTGCTTTGTTCCACATCTCTGGAGACAGACCGACAACAATCCCGCTCCCCTTAAAATAAACTCTCTGGCCACGCAAAGAGGACTTTATTCTCATATTTCACATAGTGGGTGTGTGGGTGGGGACGGCGGTGCGATTCATTCCACGCATGCCTTCCCACACTGAGTCCAATCCAAACTGGCCAGTGACGGCCTTACTAAAGGCAACATGTTGTGTTGCCAGCTGTTGTGGTTGTCCCTCTGAACAGCCATCTATCTCACCCTGCAGCCTGGAGAACCCCCATCATCCTGGTCCATTTCACTTCATACAAGTTCATTAAGCCTTCAGCCTTCATGGAGATACACTAGCACGCAAAGATTAACTGTATTACCTAGTTACCTAGACTTAGTTTTTGGAGCCGATTAGTTGTTTTAAGACATTGCTGATGTGCAAAACCACTGTATCTGCCATCAGTGTATAACGCTGTTACAGCAGTGCAGGGCAGGACCAACCCAATTTTCAAGGAAGCAGGTACTTTCTGAAAAGGAAGTACCTGAGCAGGTGACATCATGCAACCTATTTCACCCTTAAGTAACCTTTGCTTTTCAAATGAATTAAACACCAATTATGTGCACGTGTAGGTGGAAAAGCAACTTGTCAGAGGGCCATGATACACATTGCTTTTTGACACAGAGGAGGCATTCGTCGGTGTGTAAACTGTGCATACCTTTGGCAGCTCTTTGAGTTGGTTGGCATCGAGGAGAAGCTCTTCCAGGCTGCGGCTGTAGCGGAACACCTCGTCGGGGACCGTCTGCAAGTTGCAATGTCGCTTGTCCACCGACTCGACGTGGCGGTTGCATCGCCACAGGGGGATACACTTCAGCATGACCGATTTGGTTGCCGGTTGCTACTGAAAACCCCGCATCGGAGGGTGAATGAAGGTCGGCGGGGGAGAGAGAGAGAGAGAGAGAGAGAGATGTAGTCTTTATCGTGGAGAGTGTGGGCTCTCACTCAATGTCAAAAACACTCAGTGTTCTCACAACGATCCTGAACGGGAGGCCGAAATCCACTTAAGAGACACCAAAAATAATCCCTTCGACCTGTTTAGCGATATTCCCAGTTTCAGTTCAAGGATTGTCAGGTTGCGTCATCCACCTCGCAATTACAATTAACAACAACAACAACAAAAGAGAGAACTCCCGCTTGGCTGAAGTGTTTCCTCACTTCTTCACAGAGACTAGTTAGCTTGTTTTTTGCTACCTACCACCACATCCTTGTATGAGAAACATGCAACCAACGACCCAACTATTATGCATTAAACGGTGCTTCAGTTGGCCTAGTCATGAGTGGTGACCGCTTAGGTTACAAATATATAACTACCACTAAACACCTCACGTAACCAACTGAGCGAGTCGGCGGAGATTAGCCCGAAGTATGGCTGCGCTAGGATGTGCTCGCGTCCTCACCGGTTGTGTGTTGTTAGCATGCTAGTTACTATGAGCTAACATCGGCTAGTCGCTGACTGAACCGCCTTTGTAGTGCGCAGAACGTCTTGTTAACCGGTCAAACGTGCATAGTAGCGACATCCCAGTAAACGTTAAATAAACTGCCCGGTGACCGTTGTTTCTATGTGACGGTAGGTACAAAAAAAAGAGAGCAGGCGCTTCAGCAAACAGCCGCGCATCTCTATCCTCTCGATGAGCCGAGGCAGGCCGGTCCGTCGTGTGAGGGGGCGGGGCTAACTTTGATCCGAGCAGCAGAGACCTCACGGTTAACGGTTACTACCTCTGGAGCAGGTTGTGTTGCTTTCTAGCGCCATCTAGCGGGGGATAGTTATTTTTCTTCTTTTTTGAGGTTTATTGGCGGTGAATTGGTGAATTACCGCCACCAGCTGGTAAAAAATAGAAAAATAGAAAAAATAAACAATAAATAATAATTAAAAAATAATAAATAACACAAAATATATATATAAATAATATTTTTTTTTATAAATAACAAAAAAATGGCTCATATTTTCTTAGTTATTTTACAACGGAAACAGAACCGGTAAAGCCTTTAAATCTCATACCCGTGAGTTAGTTAGATAATGATAAAATACAGCCATAATAAGTGTCTTTTCCATAAGATGCCTCAAGGTCGAATATTTTAGTCACTTCAACCGTTAAATATTTGTTCGCTGCATCACCAGAAATGGAGGCTTTTTGAGGATTTGCATCCAGGTCCAGTGAGTCTGAGCATGAAAGTGAACAAAAAATGTGCAGCGGTCATCGGATACTGATTACTTAAATATTGCTTTACTGTTTAGCATGTTTAAAAATCATGTTTCTTAGCAAAGCGGTATTCAATGCATAGATTTGTCAAACTTCCACCTACAGGGTATTCTCTCCCTAAACTCATTAAAGACATATTTAATGTTGTTGTGCTACTGCAGAGACACAGGGCTTATAAAACCCCATTGTGTTAAATTCAACTAGTTAAAAACTATGGTAAACAAAGGATAACTGTATTTAGGTTGAGCACCAACAATGACTGAAATACAGACAAGATGGTCTTTGCTGATCATTAGGTAATAACAATAATCCGCTTTAAGTCTGAAAGGGTTATTATACAGTTTGATAAGTTGTTCACCTTGCAGTCACATCTAAAGCAGTGGTATTTCAGTACGTTTCACTTACGAATCAAATACTAGATTCCACAACCAGAACACAGAAGCATGTTTACGACATACAGATGAAAGGATTCTTTAGTCATAACCATTTATTTAAAAAAAGAAAAGAAGAATGTATCACACCGTTTGTGGACAAACAGTAACTTTTAATTGTAGAAATAAAGTGTTTACGTGTCCCGGTAACTTCATGAAAGGATAAAAAGGAGTTTAACAGGAAAACATAAATGTGTTACAAGATTGGATTACAAAAATGTGAAACTTGCACCAAAAAAAACAAAAAGGAGTCTTCACAGATAAACAGGTAAATATTTCTAATGAATCCCCCCCAATGGGGCTTTTTGACATTAATATCAACAGCAATTTTTAAAAAAAAGAAATAAACATAATTACAATTTTCAGAGGCCCCTATCTCTAGCTAGTGACGGGTACAGGGATGGACGCTGGTAAACCTTTTCAGACACACTATGCAGAGAGGTCACTGCTATTGAACCGGTCTTGGTCGTACACCTCTGCGACCACTTTGCGACCTCCGAACCAGCGGTCGTTGAGGGCCTGGATGGCTTTGTTCATCTCGGAGGCCATGGAAAACTCTACAAAAATTTTGACAATGATATCTGCATCCTCTTCTTCTCCTTGCTTCTCTTGGTAGATGATGACTCTGTTGACGGCTCCAAACTTCCCGCACTCCTCCGTCACCTCGCCCTCCAGGTCGTCGTCGATGTCCTCTGGTCCGACCATATTTCGAAGCACCATCACCGTGGACTGGAATTTCAAAAACCAAATATTGTGATAATAAAACCGAGCAAATAAAAGCAGTCATCAAGACTGTTACCTTCATCACAAGCCTCACCTCTGATTTTCTAAGCAGTTTCTGCATCACCATGTGTCGGGCACTGCTGCCTGAGATGCTCATGTGTTCTTGGTCGCTCAACATCTCCTGCCCTGTACCGTCCTGCAGCATCTCCTCCTTCTCCTCTTTCCTCTCTTGTTGGTTGGAGCCACCGGCTTGATTCGACAGGACCGGAGGGGACGCGAGCACTGGGTTCACTAGACCAACCTGGGGGAGCACTGGTATGGGAGGACGCACTGGAGTCACACCTTTATGGGATAGGCAGACATGCAGTCAGTCACATCAAGTGTGCAAATAAACAAGTAAAATAAACTATAGTCATGTATTAATGTGCTACTTTGACCTGATAATCCACCACACTCACTACGGCTCAAGTTTCATCCTGTTGATCAAATGTTTTATTTATGGTTTGCAACTTGATACTATTACAGCGAGTTATGACAAACCAATCCCATAAGTTTTCATCTCCTGCAATGATTTGTCCACGAGCACCAAAATTGCAGTATCCAGTCATCTGGCAAGATACTGTTTTTGGGATCCAGACCAAGGTGGATCCTCATTTTGTAAGACAGAAACCATTCAGTGCCTTCAGGGTTTGCAACAGTTTGACAATGCCGTCTTTAAATATCACCATTTACTTACATTTTAAGGAACTAGAACAAAGATGGTGCTTTAACTCTAGAGGTTAGCATTGAGCTAAACTCACGTAATGCTTCCATGAAGGAGGTTATGTTTACATCCAGCCCTGATTTACAGTCTAGATTTATTACAGTGATGATCATGACTAACTAAAAACCTAAAACCTGTCAATTCATCATGTTGAAAATCACTTACTTTTATTAAAATGAGCACTCACTCATGTCTTGGTACACACCTGTGATGACCCCTGGAGCCTGGGCAGCCATGACAGCCTGAGGTATTCCCATTTGCTGACTGAGAAGTTGGGGCGCAGCTAACGCCCCCAGGACTGAAGCGCCGGCTACAGCCTCCTTAAGAGAGGGGGGGCCGTAGGCATTAGGTAAGGGAAACACACAGAGCACAGCACAAGGCAGCACAGTCAACGATCACACAGCATGGCAGAGTGAGCTCGACCGTGTCTCTCTCTAGTGAGAGTCAAGGTACCCGAATTTACCTCAATACAGATTCACTTACAAAATCATGGACTGATCTTAGCAAAAGTCATACATATACAGAGCAGTGACGTGTAGAAAACATTTCAATCATGACACATTAGAGGAGGAACACAACGGTCTGGTTTATCATTAAGACTGTTGCCAACTAAGAAAGAAGACTTGGCAGTGCATGAGGGAAGCTTTTATCACATATATTACTATATAATGTACACTATACATAAAGGACAATAACTTCAGATTCACATTAAACTTGATAAAAAAGGATCACGCCCAGAATGTCTAATTTTTCAGGGCTGCTAAATTGACACTGTGTCAGGGCAACCGTTTGTTTGTGTGATCCTGCAATTGATAAACAATCTTATGCCCATATTATCTGTGCTTTTGGTGTCATTTCTAGCTAGATCTGGGTTATATTTACCTGGAAGGCCATTAAATCCCTTTGGAAGGGATTCATACTTGCCTGGGCCGTTATCTTAGCAGTGGCTGCCGCTGCGGCCACAGCTGCAGCAGGCGGCAGACCACCGGGGGTCGTGGGGGTCAGTAGGGGCATGGGCGGGGTCACTGCTTTGCCCACCCGTAGGTACTGACCCCCCAGGTCAAAGAGGTTCATAGAAGACACAGCGTCCAGGGCGGACTGAGGCTTTTCATACTCTGTAAGTGAATAATAGTAGTAGTAGTAAACAGCGGAGCAAGGGCAACACAAAGAGAGCGAGCGAATGAGGGCCCTCCAGCTCACCAATGAAGCCAAAGCCTCTGTGTCGCCCTGTGGTGGGGTCTCTGGCTAACGTGCAAGACTTGATCCTTCCGAAGGCCTCAAACACACTCTTGATGTCGTCGTCCGAGAGGTCCGGGTGGACCGACGCCACGTAGATCCGATTAAAGGCGCGCGCCTCCTCTGCCAGCTGGTCAATGATGGGTTGCGCCTGACCGATGTTACTTGGCCGCCCAACCTATAGCACAGATCATACCAGCAGGGCTACTGAGTATGGTTGTGTTTTATTTTCTGTACCAACCAAGAACGCACTACCGCGAAATTCCATATCCCTGCAGCGCTAACTTTCGACCGCCACGAGTTCAGTCAAAGCCTCCTACAATCATAACGCTATCCTGGCAAGTATTCTGTGGTTTTACATATGTGCACGTCTATTATTACACTCATCTGAGAGAGCATTTAGTGCCTTTCATTCTATCATTCCTACACTGGCCACCAGGTGCAAAATACTTATTTAAGATTACATATTTTCAAAACCTGAGTTCTGTTAAGATCACTTACTTTTTCAGAGCCCTCTCTTATTTAAATAACCAACAATTAAAAACCAGCCGGTCTGTCAAACAACAGTTCTTAGGGATGTCCATCAGCTGATTATGAATTTAACTACTGTACTAAAAATGCGATTCTTGATGAGTTATGTAAAAATTGTCAGCTTTCATTACAACAGCGACAAACAATACAACTTTCTACATATGTAGTACTAATTATAACTTAGTTTACAATGTAAATATTGAGCTATTTTGTAAATAATTGCGCAACTATCAAGCAGAGAACTGCCGCGTTATTTTTACAACGACCACCAGCTCAGCCAGTCACACTGTGCATGCACGGTGTGACTGGCTGAGCTGGTGGCAAACCGACAGGAGACCGCATCAAGTTATTCATGTTACTTCTAACGTACCCTGACCACTTCCTCTCCCTATCCAAGACGAGCATCTAAGTGCGACTGGGATCTGTACTACAGATGGGGCGGCCAAGCAACACCAACCAGGCGCAGCCCATCATCAGCACACCATGGACACAGAGCGACGCCACGCGCCGCTGGGCATCCTACTGGAACTGGTCACTAAAATAGCTTTGATGACATCATGGAAGCACAACACAAACAGACAGTATTCTAAACACACACCCAGACATACACACAACACACGCACCTGGAAGTCAACAAAACACAGAAAAGCAAAAGAGAGAAATGAGTCACATATGGGAAGTATCACAAAAGCAGGTAATTAACAAATTCCATCAAAAATATGAATAAAATGTGAGATATTACATTGTTTTCCGTTGTCCATGTGTACTTAACATCTTTAGGAGGTACTCACATCTCCAGACAACGTACCTTAATGTTTCGCCCCCCCAGCATGACTGAGTTCATCTGCTCCAGAGCCAGCTGAGCAGCCTCTGGCACGTCATACTCCACAAAGGCAAAGCCCTGCACAGTCAGACAAAATGTAAGAAAAACAGAACATACACAACATGAAAGTCAGCATTATGTGTAATCTTCAGCATTTACAACATGTTCAACACTTAAAATACACTGACCTTGTGTTTCATTGTGACAGAATCCCAAGACATGTCAATGCTCTTGATTGGGCCAAAGGGGGCAAAGGCCTGTCTGATGGTGTCCTCACCGAGCTCATAGTATATGGAGCCCACATACACCCGACACATGATGGCTAGGGCACGCTGCCGCTGAGCTGCCACCTGCCAACCAGGAAAACAACACATGATAAGCATTAGAGTGACAGAAAGGAAGACAAACAAAAACAATAATAAATGTGTCTATTCTACTGTACTTGCTTTCCCCCCCAAAATAGTTAAGAGGCCAAGTCCAAGTTAGGGGGTCTGGGCGGGTAAATGGTGTAATAATGGGATACTGTAATCAATGGACAGAACAACTAACATGGATGTCACCACTTGTAATTACATTATGACGTCTATTCTGTCACTACTGAACAAACGTATATATGGAGTAAAACACACTGAAGTGATTGGCATGCACATCCCTCACAAATATTTGGCTTCAGTAACTGACCTGTAGTCCAGAGATGCAAGTAAGGTAACAAAAAGTAACCATGGAGTTCAAATGAAATCCACACAAAGCCTCGATGAAAGCATTTCAAACTCGGGATGGTTTAACCACCCAGAGTTGTGCTGTGCTTGTATTTCATTCCATTACCAACTAAATAGAACATGTGCCTAATTCATGACATATTGGAAAGTAGACCTGATCATTGACAGAGAAACTTGACTTTGAGGTGGCCAAAAAGATCCCCGTTCCAGCAATTCTCTCATGTTGGTCCATTAAAAGGGATTGCTATCCCTCTTTTGTCCCATGCCAAGAACTTTCTGTTTTAAAATGCATATTTTTCAAAGAGAAGTGGCTTATCTCACATTTATAAACCCTTTAAAAAGCCCATTAACAGGCAAAGAGTTCTGGCTATCTTCTTGTTAAAAATACTAACGCAAATTATCCCATTACGACTCAAGAAACCAAGTAACAAGTGATTCTACGGTTAACAGCAGTGATTGATCTCAAAGATAATTACTGATATGGTCGCAGGTACACTGGCAGTAGAAGGTTTTTACTAAATATGCATTCCTTGGTTAGATATGGGGGCAGGGATTGCTGCTAAAGCAACCAGTAAAAAAGGGTAACAGTCCTTTTCCATTGGTATGCGCACAGAAAAATAATTTAATAATCTATTGACCGATTGTAAAGGTGAGAGAGGATCTCCAAAGCCCATTGTCACTGCTGCCATCTGAAAGACAGTAAAGATGGAAGAAAGTGCTGAAAAGTAGGTTAGGAATCCCGTAGCTTTGCTTTTCAAAAGTATCACATGCTTAGCTAGATAGACAGGAGTGGTAAGGCTAACACCATATTCAAAACCACCTTCTAAAACATACAGTTTGGGGAGTTACATTACAAATCACCACAGCAATAAACATAGACAAGTCCCCTATAAAAGTGCAAAGCATTTAACATGATAATTAAGGCCTTCTTGATGACCGTCTCCATCTGAAAAAGAGCAGAGGCAAAAGCAACTGTTCTACAGCTGTGGTGTTTTCCACAGCATTAGGAAGAAGGGAGTAAGACTTCCAAGAGAGCTTTAACAAAACAGACTTCTGAGTCAAGAGATGTCTGAATTACTCATGTAGAAAAACGCTAAGATATTCTGCCTAGAATCAAGACTCATAGACGACACACGCATTACAAACTTGGTACCAAAACATTTCACACATCTCACCTGCAGGTTGGTGAGCTGTTGTTGCTGATGGGCGATGGTTTGCTTCACCAACACACTCTTAATGCTTTGTTCCATGGCATACTTCTTCGCCTGGAAAAGAGGAAAATCCATTATATCCAAGTTACTTATATGAACAAATACCCGTTATAAAATTATTACTAAGACTAAACATTGACAAACATTTTATCAGTACAATTATACGTCACTTTTTATTCCTGCAGTCTTTTTTCCAGCAATATCTTAATTCATCTTTTTAAGTGACGTCCAAAAGACAAAAGAAGCAACTCTGTGAGCATCCAGTATGAGGAAAAATATCAATGATTGTCCAACATTCAAATGAGACCTTACACGACCTGGAAAATAAATTGGCTTTATCCAGGAGAAATCAGGTTTCTTAAGTCCTCTAGTCCGATCATGCATGTAAACAGGATGATTTAGATATATGATACAAATGTACACTGGTAACTATAATATCACTTAAGGTACATTTAGGTTTCCTACCCTCTGAAGTGCCTCCTGCTGCTCTGGGGTGAGAGGCGGCAGGCCGAGCTTGGAGCCTGTGCCCTGTCCATTCTCCATCGTCAGAGCTTCACCTCCCTGCAGAAACAGTAATTAATTGAGACAAAAACAATAAAAAAAAAACTCAGAAACTCTGGAGCATTAAAACCTGCCTGTATATACATCAAAACTACAATTTCCCAGTAACGTTAAATGCAATTAGAAGTCACATCACCTCACACAGCACAGGTTATAATTAAATGAGCTTAGCATATACAGGACAAACATCCGGATTTAAACCAGGACCGGACGAACTCCTTACCTACACAACCCGCTAATGGCTGGGTCCACCAGACTGAGGCAGGAAAGAAGAGGACTGATGGGGGAAGCTTTAACAATTCAACAAATTCTATGGGGAAATGAAAAATGCCTTCAGACTATAACAATAAGAGAAACAGGCAGCAGCTAGCATTATTTATTATTTACATTGCAATCTTTACATAGCCAGCCCGTGTGTCCATAAGATTTTAAGTCAGCTAACGTTAGCTTGATGCTAATGATGGTGGTCGTAACGTGCTAGGTTAAGCAGCAACAAAGGGCTACGGTTAAATATACGTGTAACGTCATAGCTTAAGTCGATATGGACATTAACAACTACAACTACTACTACTACTACTACTACTACTACTACTACTACTACTTTCCGTTACACCTACGTGACCGTAGCTGCATACATATTATAAAGAGCATTAGCTGTTATATCATCAGCGAGACCTGGTTTCTATTTAGCTCTTTGTTGCTAGCAATGAGCTAGCTAACGTTAGGCATCCATTACTATGGCGCGTGAAGCAGTATTTTCTTTTATACTGTCAAATTACAGGACATTTTCTACAAGTTAAGTTATGCAAAACATCACTAATTACTTACGCAACCGCCAGTGTAGCTGAAAAAATGTTAATGTGCTTTTCTTTTTTTTTTTTAATCAGGGAATATATTTACCGCAGTCTCCGTAACCGCCATGAAGCACACCGTCTTTGGAGAGGCCCGCACTATTAAGTTCTCGCGAGATCTTCAAGTTTTCAATGGAAAGTATCGCGATCGTGGAAACCGTAGCGAGGATATGGCCGGATGTGGAAGCGTTGACTATAATCTCTAAATTTATTATGAACCCCGTGGCTAGATGTGTTAAAAACATAATGTTATTGTGACTCAACAGACTATGTGACCTGATTGGGAATTTCAACTGTATTTATCCTGCCAATGTGTTGATCAAATGTTTTATCTCGATGGTTCCTCCACCGTATTATATTCACATTTAGTTACACATTTTGGAAGCTGTTAATCAAACATTATTTCATGTAATTTCATGTTTATTTGATAAGGAACAATACATTATACATATATAATTGCAAAACAATAATCCAATGCAATATCTTCATTTATCTGACATTATACAATATCTGACATTATAACCGTGATAGGACCAGAAGAGTAGAAGTGAGGAAATGTAGGAGTGATATGTTCTTTCCTACAATTTTATTTTTTTAATGATAATATTTAAACCAAGGTTACAGCTACACTACATAGTGCAAGAATTATATGGGATATGTTACCCAATCTAAAATATAACTCTTGGTCTTGTGATTATTTTTAGTTAGATTATATTCCTGTAACAGACCGAATAAACCGTGTTCATTTGAAAGTCAATCAAAACCATATATTTTTGCAATTTGCTTTCATCTCCAAGTTTGAACAAACAACTTTTTGTTTGTTTAGTGTGCTTTAAAAATTCCTGTCTGTTGCACACTTTAAAACTCTGATATAAAATTGACTTCTGTCTGATAACATTTAACTCAAATAGTCCAAAACTACATCTTATTCTTCAACGATGGATACTCTTTTCCACACCTGCCTCTAAAGTTATTCAGACTTTAATCCAACTTAAAAAAAAACATCAAGATCTATTGTACCATTTCCTAAATTTGACAACAGTGAACATAGATCTGACATAACTGTGATAGGACCAGAAGAGTAGACGTGAGGAAATGTAGGAGTGATATGCATTTTATACAATTAAAATATATAATACGTATATTGCCAACTAGATAAAAATACTTTCTTGAGTTTAATTTAATTGATTTTTCGAAAATATGTTAATGTGAACATCAAAATATATACTGGAACAATACATAATGGAAAATGTTTCAGATAGGTGGATTGATCAACATTAAACCACAGTCCAACAAATAAATAAAAATACTAATAAATTCAGACATGTCACATATCATTTATTGTCATGTATTTAATTGTAGTAACCTTAATATTTAACAAATGTTTAAGTAGAACACATCCAAAAGGCAAATTTCATTCAACAGTTTCACAGGAAAAGAAGTCATTTGACATAAAATGAGACTGATATGGATGTTTTATTTTTCATGTTTGCACAGTCTAAACATTCATTTTCTTGGTCAGGTCCCCTCTGAAACTGAACTGTGACTGACAAAGGCAAAATGTTAAGTTTTGAATGGTTGCAGGCTATTAAGACATGCAGCTTACTTGATCAAATGAGAGCAATAGTGGCACTTCTTTGTATTGAAAATGTGTCTGAAAGTAAACCCATTTAATAGCCACAAACAAATATGTACACCACAGCCCATAGTCGGTGAATGTCTGGGAGAATTCATGACTCCCGTCTTCAGAGACACACTGATAAGAAGGCCGGACACAGAGTAGAGTAAGTAAGTACTGTAAGCAATGACTGTACAGCAGTGTATATGAAGCCTCAACCTTACAGACCCGGGAAACAAATGAAGCAGAGCTAAATGAGTCTGACAAAAAAAACCAAAAAAAAGTACTCTGCTGCGATCAGACAATTCCCCATTGTTTTTTTGCTCTCCAGTTTTGAAAAAGAACAATCAAACATTCTTTTACGGTGCCAAGGTTGGATTCTTGACAAGAGAATCTGGCCGAGCAGAGGGAGTGTTTTCTATTTTTGTGTGGACTGCAGTGCAATCAATTCCAAAATTCACACTGAAATTGTGTGAAATAAAACTAGAGTAGATCTGATCCTGGGAAATGAAAGTGTTCAAAGCAAAACTGTTACTCTCTTTTATCTTGGATTGTGTTTTATCACCTGCGGCCCATGTAAACCTCTAGAGGTTAGCACTGTTCATGAGTACGTAAAAGACAAAAATGCTAAAACCATACATTCCTAAAGACTTTTGGGTGGATTTTTCCTTTAAAACACCTCTAAACACAAGCTCAGCATTCGACAATATGCTCAGATGGTTTTGGAAAATACCGCAAAAGTAAGTATAGTAGTAATATTCTTCAACAATTTGTATAAACACGTTTTAAGATCACATCCCCATCACCCCTCCTCCCATTTATATAAGACTATGATTTTACTTCACATGCTTCCTGTGATCTATTCCAATTTTTGCACATGAGCTGCAGCTCTTTCAAAAACTCACATCGACTGCAGCAGAGAGCATTATCAAATGATCCACAGGTCCAGTATACAAAGGCTGAAGCTCTCAGTGGAGCTGCCATTACTGGGTGACAATCTTCACATTCACGCAGGCTGATTGTGCGGACTCGTGATAGGAGACGAGACAATAAGAATCAATGCATCTGGTTTTAAAAACTAAAAGTCAGCCTGAATTTGTTAAATTCCAAATTGCTATGTTGGGTATCGTGCCTGTTCATTAGGAAATGCTGTCCAAAGTACATTGCCATTTCAGGCACTTTGCAAGTCTTTGGCTTTCAGAGCGCTTTCACAGGGAAAACCCTTAAGAGCACTACAGGCTAAAAGAGAGGCATCATCTCATTGCTCGTCACTACATTTAGGCATGGTGTGATTAGCTCTGGGAGAAGAAGCCTTTAACCCAAGAGTGCAGTTACGTGTGTTAACTTTGTAACTTCATCAAAATAAAGAAAGAAAATAAATGGCTTGTGGAAAGCTTCTATTGTTCACAGTTAAACATAAATAAATAAGTCAACTGAATGAGTATTAACAGTGCATGTTGGACGGAATAATAAATTCCTAAAACTGTCATAAACGCAGGGGTTCTGGCTTGTACGGGAGAGAGGCTGTAGTAAATTACTTTGTTTACAATTCAAAGAAAATCGTCACCAATCAAAGTGGACATTGGAGTGCAAACGAGGCTCATGAGCAATAAAACGTCCTTCTGAAAACACAGCTGCTGCATTTCTAAGTAAAACATATCCGTTCTGAGTAGCGGCATTATGGAAAAGCTGTCAAGATATCTTAAGGCGTGATAAGCCCTTTCAGGCAGGGAGTTTTTGTCGATCTTCCATTGCTTCGTGGGATTGCTGAACACAGTCATGGTGCCTCCAGCCCACCAACCAGAGGTGCCTTTGGTTCCTGGCGTTCCCCTTTCTCACTGGGATGATGTCCGGACTGTCAACGCCCAGCATCCTTCTGTATTTGTCTCTTTTTCGGCTGTGTGATCCTGTCCGCTTGCCCCCTCCCTTTCTCGATCCGTGTGGTCAACGCCCGGGCCCCTTCTGTCCGGGGCCAGCCGCTGTCGGGACCCCTCCTCACTGTGTGCTCCCAGAGGGCAGCGCTCGGACCCGGTGTCGGCACATGGCGTCCTCTAGGAACCCTGCCACCTTCTCACTGTCCTCCTAAGATGAGATACAAGTTGCTTAAAAATGCTAACAAATCCCAGTAAGGACATTTAATCAATGCTGTTGTTGAAGAACAAACATAAAGAAGCTTTTATATCTACCTCATTAATGAAGGCGTAGTGAACAAGTTCACTGGCAAGGTCTTTGGAGGTGTCAGCTGAAAGATTCATGAAATATTTTGGTTACAAAAAAAAAATCACAAAATGAACCGTTAGTGTATGTTGTTTTTAAGGATACGTATGGGGATTCTCTCTATTTTTCTAACTGTCAACAAATCCGCTAAAAAACCAAATTGAAAAAAGAATTGATCCAACTAACAAGTATAGTCTGAGTATCCAAAGCCTGATATACTGTAGCATATTCCTCTGTGCCATAGAGCTCCATTTTTGTCCAACTACTACTAAAAACACACCATTGACGCACGCGGTTCCCGAGTTACCATGTGGGTAATGTCGGCCTGACAGCTACAGAAAGGCTGGGGAGGTCGGACTGTAATGAGAGACAGACTGAGGCTTTTGGTGGTTTTGGTCTTTGTCATCAAATTTGTAGACAGCAAGAAAAATATAGAATAAAGCTGTCCCTCTCCTTTAAGGTGCGGTTGTGGTCAACTTACTTGGAAGGATGTCACAGCTAAGCTGCCTATGAAGTTTGTCATCCATCTTCAGAAACAAAGAGAGCTGGGGAGAGATCAAAAAGTCAAATTTAAGTTAACTTTAACCACCATAACTGACTGAACGTCTACAATAAATGTTGGTCGATTGTTATTGGCAGAAAAGACCAATATGCTTGATTGTTAAGGAGCCCAACAAAAGAGTTTATACTAAAATGTACCTGTAATACTATGTGACTCACATGAGTTTTGGTCCCTTCTTCATTTGTCTCCAAATTACAGTGCATCTGAACAACCTACGACACAACAGAGAAAGAGGGTCAGCACAGCAAAAATATCTTTAATATCTAAAATATTTAACGTCTGAAAGCCGAACCTTTCTTGACTCTGTCTCCTGGGGTTCGGGAGTCGGCGTCTTGACCGTCTCAACCTGCTCCTGAGACAAGGACAGGGCTCGAGGGACGGGGTGAGGCCGGGACGACGCGAAGTTCATCAAGGGGTAGATCCCATTCCTGAAGAGGGGACAGGACAACGTGTTGAACCTCATGCTGCAGTCACATCACTGATACAAAACCAGTCCTACACACTGTGGTTACACTCACTTGACATCCTCCAGAAACTTGTCAAGCTCCAGAGGGGACACATGAGAGTATCTACAGGACATGAGGAAACACACAGGAGAGCAGAGTGAGTGTTGTGCTTCACATGTCAGGATATTCAACACAAGTAGACAAAGATGTGAGGTGCTTGTGAGACTTTACTTGAGCTGAACTCCCTGTCTGTCATCATGTTTAATCTCTGCCATGACAGCGTTGGGGTCAAAGGACTTGGTTTTCTCCTCCACACAATTTTCTGGGAGCAAATCTGTAGATGCAAGAGAAGTCAGGACATCAGCTGATTTGATACAAATATACAAAACCCTTAGAAATTGATCAGCTGCATGCAGGAACAAGTAAACATGGAGATGTGCATTGAAAGAGGAGACTTTCGTTCGGTGGAGCTTGGCTCGTGGGCCTTGAGAAACTCACACTGGTTGTTGATGAGGCAGTGGGCGGCGAGCAGTTTGAGGGAGTGGACCTCGAACAAGACTCGGTGGAACAGAAGGTCGTGAGCCGTGGGACGGAGCTTGGCTTCGTGACGCAAACAGGACTGGGTGAACTCCTGCAGAAGGCAACCGGTCCAACACATAACTACAAGACTGCACAGTATGACCCAGTTTACCCGAGCATCGCGCTGTGTTCTGGATTTCCTGGCAAAGTTTTACTGAAACGTTCACTCTAAAACTGTACAAAGTCTCGGCATGTGGTAAGAAATAAACACCTGGAAGCAAGGTAGTATGTGGGCGAGTGTTACCAGTGTAACGTGGGACAGTTTGTCTTTGTGTTTCCATGGTTGCACTGGTGTATATTTAGGACGTGAAGTATTTTTTATACTCACTCTCATGAGAGGGTCTTCCAGAGATTGACCTGCGTTGACGATGGCTTCCTTGGACACAGCAGTATCTCCGTTGGCCTGGATCTCCAGTACTGCCATCTAGAGGTGCAAATAATCGGTTAACACAATCACACATTAACACTCTGGGGGAGGGGAGCACCACACAGATCTGTTTCTCTCACCTCTAGAGCACAGATGCCGAAGGAGAAAATGTCTATGGCATAATCATCGTCGCCGGCTAGAAACAGAAAAGGAGAAGCAAAGATGAAGGTGGTGAGTCGTAGAGAATAACTTTAAAAGGAAAAGCTGCCCCAAAATAAAAATGTAGTCAGATTGAGCGTTATTGCAAACAAATAATTAACCATATCTATGTTTTTACAGCTCTTAAAGCAGCACAAAACATCTCATTAAATGTCTGAGTAGGATAATATGAATGCTTTGTCTCATTATCGCACTCTTTGTGTGCTAAAATTACGTCACAGACTTCCCACAATTCTCTGGAAAAAGAATCAACACTCTATTGTCAACAAAACATCTGGATTGTGCGGCAATTGTGTGGGAATATGAAACTACGGGAACTAAGTCGAGTAATTTTGCCGATATTACCAACTTCAGCGGAGTTTAAAGGCACATTAAGCAAAGTGACGACTGCATTTTTCACTTTGAGGTGAATCACTCAGTTAAGAACGAATGAAGATAGATTTTCGGTAGAAACCAAGCCGCAGAAAGCTACACACAAACTCCGCTCCATCACACTTACATCCATATTCCGGAGCAAAGAAATGAAGATTCCTCTGCTCGTCACGATGCTGCCGCGCTTTACTGTGGACGCTGGCATCTGGAAACACTGATGAGAGAAGACACAAATAGTATCGATACATTAGATGAAATAAGACGATGGATGCGACACAAATGAAAACATAACTATCAGGGAAATTATCTATATCTTACCATTAACAAATAGCCGATGCCACACTGTGGAAAGAAAATGAAGCATAATTGAGTTTTTATTCTGTTTTGCAAAATTGCAGACATGTATTCAGTAAATCCACATTGCACGGTCTGAGGATACAACATGGGTCTCCTATGCTGGTTGTAATGACATAAAAAGCCCTGCAGGAAGCAGACCTGAGCCGATCTTGATGAGGCCGTTGTGCTGAATGAAGATGGTGTCGCACGTCAGGTTGGCGTGGATTATTGGAGGCTCACAAGAGTGCAGATAACTGCCAGTGAACAACAAAGCGTCCAGTTAATGCGATGACTGGGACAATAGAAATCTCTCATGTTAAAATCCTGGGGAAGAAATCAGTCAGTACCTGAGGGCAGAGAGAATCTGGGTGCACCATCTCTTCCAGGCCTAAAATATAGTGCAACAGAGCAACATGAGGACAAAAAATCCCTCTCTAATTCTCGGGAATATAATGCGGAGAATAGCTAAACACAGCAACGTTACGACTTTAAAACAGCAGATGTAGAAAACAGAAGAGAGAAAAGAGAGAGGATGAGAAGCAGGTTTCAAAGAGATATATGTCTGAGCAGACTGAGCCACCAGGGTGTCCTGTTACATCATCTCTAATCCTGCAGGAAATATGGATCCGAATAGACTGCAGTACTGTGCGCCACCACCAGGGGACAGACACCAGAAAACAAACTGACCTTCACATTCATAGTCTTGTGGTTCTTCTTAGTTTTCTTCAGAAACTGCTTGAGACTGCCCGACGACATGTATTCTGTGATGAATATAACCTGTGGGCCGCATATGGAGTCGAGTTAAATAAAGTGTGCGTGTCGAGAAATAAGACCAGAGAGGATTAGAAAGATCGTACCCTCGCCTGGCTCTCCTTCATGTCCAGCCAGTACTTGTGGAACTTGACAATGTTGGGGTGTTCGACCTGCATCAGGTTCTCAAACATCTCCTTGATTGTCTCCTAAAGAACCATACATCTTCACTTTAACATCACGGACCAAGTCGGGTCATTAAATCCCCTGGCCTTTACCAATTAGTTCATTACGCGATCAGTAAATTCATTGGCAGATAATCAAGAATTCTGGAGGCAAAAATGCCAACAATTCACTATTTCAAACTTCTCACATGATAATATTTCATGGTTTTCTTGGGCTTCTAAGTTATTTAAATCAATACCTTTGGGGTTTGGACAAAATAAGCAAATAAAGTCTCAGAATAGATACAGAATAAATACTGCCCGTCTTGGCTGTATGGAAGAAGAACCACAATACCTCCTGTGCTTTGAAGACCTTCTTGTCAGAGAAGAGCACCTCGTTCCACACCACCTCCACGCCCTCCTCTGTGTCCATGGCCAGAGAGGCACTCTCCACACCTGGGACATTACCTTGGCTCACCTGCAGGGGGCAGACAGAGACAAACAACAGGACTTAGCATAATGCTAACACTGCAACTGCAATATCTTGAGTACTCATTTATCGCTGTCCTTTAAAAGCAACTGCCAGGCTGGCAACCAGGCATCAGTTTTTGGTTGCCAAAACTGTCAGTAAAAACACCAACGCACTGGCAGTGTTGCCTGTTTCCGGTTGTGACTTCAACAGCAATATTTAAATATCACTAATGCAACAAAAATTAAAATCTATTCATTCTCGGGTGCCCGTTTGGTACATTTTGTTTTCAATGTATTTATTATTTTAAACGTGGTTACCACTGATGGGCAACTAAAGGCCAAGGATTGGTTGCCAATTTGTCAAAGTGGTACTAATGGCAACCTGACCAACATCACTGTCAAGCCCCGCATTAATGAATCAATACGGAGCAACATCATCATTTGGGGACGTGTTTGTGTCCATCTGATGGACGCTCGTTGTAGCTCTGCACGTCCTCCTGAGGGAAAAGTCTGCTTCAGCTGCTAAACGCTCCACCACGTTAACCAGCTAGTCTGGAACTGTGTCGACAGTCGACATTTGGCAACGACCTATGCGAGAGTGCTGCGAGTGAACAAAAGCAGTACAAACAAAACAAAGCTGCAGACATTGCGGTGCCCTTGCTAAAGAAATAAAAAAAAAAAGCACGTCTGAAATGATTTGACGTCACCCCTGTGGTTATAATAACTGCTAAAAGCTCCACACGATCCATTAACAGCGGCAGCTCCATTAATAAAAGTTGTATTTGGGAGTGCGAGTTAAAAAAGACAGTCTACGAGCCGTCATTTTTGTTTAGACGGCATGCAATTCAGTTTTCCATCCATCAACACGCTAGAAGGCGTCAGCGTGGATAGATGGAGGACTCATTTCACTGTGCTGAGGATATGTTAAACGTGGCCAGCCAGCTATAACATGATGAAGCGTAAAGAGGGGCGATGGGATGAGCAGCAGCTTGCGTAACGAGCGACGAGATGGATTAGCAGGAGACGGAGAGGGAGAAGTGAGAGGATTGAGGGATGAGGGACTTAGAGCGACGAGACACGGGCAACAAGATGGAGGATGTGGCACCGGAGATCCAAGAACTACAAAGGAGGGGAAAAAAAAAAAAAAAAAGGAAGCGGAGTGAAGTGAAGAGGCAGTGGCTGGGTCTATAATCTGGCAGACGCAGACGGCCCCGCGGCTCCACGAGTGTTTATGCAACAGCGGCAAACTAAAGACTGCTCATCACAGGATATTGCTGCCTCAGCTGGGCAGACCTGCTGGCATACGTCTATGCAGCAGAAGCGGTGGTGCAGAGAGTAGATCCGTTACTAATAACAATGACGCAATCAACAGGAGGAGGGTTGTTAACAGAACCAAACAAGCAAGAAGACAAACAGCGACCACAAACGCCACTATAAATGTTCAGATTTGATATTCATGAAAGGAACCAAATGCTGGGTGTGCTTATTGCTCCACCCGCAGTGCAGTGCAGCTGTAAAATCTCTCTTTGCAGGCGAGACATAACATATAATCTCACTTCTCCCACTCTACAAGAGATGATAATCTGATTACTGGTATTACGGAGCTGGAACCTAATCCTCCGGCTGGCTGGCGGAGGAGGGAATTCCTTCGTTTCAATAAGCCACCAGGAAGGAATTGTCAGTTTCCCTCCGGCGTCGGGGCTCGGCTGTTTATGTTCTCTGGATGTTGAGAAACACTCGGTTCCCTGTCCCAACGTTTACGTCGCAGGGGTTTTTGCTTGGTCGCCGTAGCGCGAGACTCGTAAACAGCACACCGCTTGGCTGTGATTGGCTGCAGGAAGGGAGGTGGGTTTAGCTCGCGCATAGGGATTTAAGGGATCGTGTGTTCATGTCAAAACAACTTCTATTCTGATGTTTGGTAACGCCACATCCGAGCCGGGTGAAACTGGATCGTGAAGGCTGACAAACTAACCTCTCATTACCTCGCCACACATTTCTCATCGTTTTGATTTGTGAGGTAAAAATAGTGGTAGAAGAACCGCACACGAGCAAAACAGAGAAACTGCAACACATGTGAACTTCAAATCCCACCTCTGCCTCTTCTTCAGCACAACTTAGTCCACTTTAATGACGGCCACCAAAAGTAGGAAAACAGAACTCTGTGTGGTGACGTAATACATCACTTCTCTCTCTACATACAAGCAGCGTATCACTCCGCCATCATGGTTAACACAGCAGTATGTAGCTCCCAAACTAAGCACATTTTGTGATACATAATCTACAATTAAAGTTAATCAAATAATCAAAAGTCTTTAAAATTACTCACAATCCAACTGTTTTTGAAGAAAGAGGGTTAAAAGAGTATTTTGAAAGATGTGTGTACAAACCATTTTCATATGTTGTCACATACTCATGTGTTAGAGGGCTGCAGGGATGATTTATGTTATTTAGTTAGCATCGCACTGGTTCCTTTGACAAAAAGCCGATGGGATTTTTTGATTAGACTTTGGATGATTGCAGAAAATAAGCAAACAAACACCACATTTTGGATTTTTGTAGCTTGAATGAAACATGCAAAAGTATAAAGCTAACATTGGGCTACAAATGAAGTACACCACGGTAGCATGAGCGCGAGTAAACACAACGTGGCTGTAAAGGCGGACTAGTCGGCGTTTAGTAGTTTAATTTAGCCACTTGATAGCAACCGCCATTTTTTTAGACACGTATTGCAGAACAAACAGTTGAAATCTCTTGCGCTTGTGTTAACCACAGACCTTATTTCAGGCATCTAAACAAAAAACCCATTTTCGCTGAGACGAAGGGAGACAAGGGAACCGGATGTGAAAAAATGCTGACTCATTAGCAGATTTTAGGACTCTCCTGCAGCACCCTGCAGAGTAAACTGAGCTAGAAGTGATGCAGTCTAATAAAACTGCCCGGTAATAAATCCTGCTCAGTTTTTAAGAGGGGTGTTGTTGACTGTGTGGAACAGTATAGAAGGATGTAGTTTGTGGTGCGGTTGAATTGTATCATGCTGTGCAGTGTTGTATGTTACTGATAGACACACCCTGCTATCTGTGCACAGCTGCATTGACTTATGGTATACCACACTTGCACTGGCTCATCTCAAAATGAAAAAAGGTGCACGATAAAGGGACAGAGGGAGGATTAGCAGACGGCTAAACGTCAGTACGGTAGCTCAGGCATCTCGTATGAAAGAGTGTCTTTGTCTCAGACTGTGTGTGGGTCCAAGCTTTAGCGACAAAGCGCTTTGTCTCCCAGACGTCAGTACCTCGCCTCCTCCTACACCTCATACCTCGACGATGAGCCGATACGCCGCACCGCGTTAATATTTAAGAAGTAGATTTTGTACAGGCAACACCCAAGTAATCTGCATCACTCTGTGCTAGATACTCGCTCGGTGTCTGCACTGTATGTAAATGAGCGCAGACTTCTTTCTGCTTCTTTCTCTCTCTCTGAGATTTCACCGGCATCAAGGAGGAGCAGGATCAAAGATTTGCACATGAAATGTTGTGGAAAATGCAAAAATCTGGTCTGTCTCTGCACAATGTGGATGTGTGAATAAGGGAATAAGGTGCGCATTGTTTCAAGCACATTGTTAGATAGTGCTTATTTAAAAAAAAAAAAAAAACTGCTATTACCTAAAAAATACAGGTAATTAGATAAAGTTTTCTCATACAACATATGATATCTTACAAAAAGATAAATCCTTATTTTTTGGGCAACACGTGTCAATTTCCTCTCGTGTGCATGTAGCACACGGTCTTTTCAAAATAAATTTCTGTTGTCACAGGAAACAACTCGGTTAGGTAGAGGCAACGAAACTCCTTAGTTAAGTTGAGGAAAAGATCGTCATTTGGGTTCAAATAACATCAAAGTACGCAAGTTAGTGACAAATAAATCAACGTTGACTTCTCGTTTCAAACGGAGAACAAGCAGCGGTCTTATGGAGGAAAGGTCGCTGGTTGTTGACAATATCATTACTGGGCTCTGTAAGAAGGAGGTGCGCTTAGACGGAAATTGGTGACACAGACGTGCCACGGGAATTTCAAAATAAAGACAAATCTTAAAGATGAAAATATGTGGGACTTTGCATCGATATTATATCGTTACTCATTGAATCGATATATCCAGATCGATCCTAGTAAGTAAATGTCCACATCTCTGAATCAACGCTTCCATTTTTCTGCAGTAAAATATTACTCAGACTTCTTGCCTGCACGTCCCCTTTTCCATCCATAAACACTGATCCGTTACACAAATGTGCTAATGAGCAAACACCAAAATAAACCAGACTCTGCAGCGAGTACAGTCATCGAGAGCTCCCGCTGCCCGTCTGATGATGAGCCGTCTCGCACTCCTTGTTCCTGTCCGGTCAGCGTCGGGGCCTTGAGCCACTGACCGTCCGCTGACCTTCAGCAGCTGACCCAAACCCGCTCCACGGTCCGCCTCCACAGCTCCCTCTCTCTCTGTCACCCCCAGGATGTCACATGTGTAGCACACAATCAGGTCGGATAATGTGTGTGTGTGTGTCCGCTCAGCGTGAAGAATAACGTGATGGCACCAGCCGTGACAAGTCAAGCAGGGGACAGGAAATGGGCAACAATCAACGCTCTTCATTCACAGTCAGATGAAAGCGTCTGCATGGGCGATTTCAAATCATAAGACAAAATCGTGTTAACTTGTCCGGAGCATTTTATCAGATTAATGCCCTCCATTTCCCACATTATCTAAATCAAACTGCTGCCAGGTTTGACACACAAGGTCACACAGGCTCACGAGTTATTAGACAGATCGGCCCACCATCACGTCTCACTTATTCATTTTCTCATGGAGCAGTTAAAGCTCCCCACGAAGAGGAATGTAGGACAGCAAGAGCAGATGGATACAAAGGGGAGACTAAACAAACAAACAAAAACAGGACACAACAGTGGAAATCACAGGGAAATATTCAGCCTCTTTTAATGAAGCTCTGCTGAAAACTAA